AAGACAGGACGGGGTCCTTTCTCCGAGGCTAACGAGCGACGGTTAATTGTATTTTCTGACATCGGTCTCTACGGTATATTTTCACAGTTAATTTAACCGAGGGTGGGTTATATTGACCGATATAAGTAAAAACTATCCTAAAGTTTTTTTATTAATCCGCTAATTAAACCGTCTAATTTGACCGGAAAACTTTTTATATACGAAAAAGCTCTTCAACGAACAATACCGGAAAAAACTTTTTTCTCTCTGCTCCCAACGAAGACGCCCTATAAAATAAAATGGAACCTAGTTATGAACTCGACGACTGCGAATCTCTAAAAATGCTCCAATTTGAGAATCACACAAGATTTCCACTAGTAACTTTATTGCGAAGTTCGGGATGCGCTCGTCCCGTTTTAGATAATAGCCAACTTTTCGGAGTGGGTATCCCATTTTCCGAAAACGCTAGTTAGAGAAAGTTATTTAATAACCTGCAACTCGGCTACCTAAGTCGCAAAAATCGAGGATTTTTCGTTGTTCTGTTGCATTACAAGAGTTTACTTATTAGTTGTAGGGGAACAAGGGACGGCAATAAACTCACGGTGGAATTACGCCGGAATGAATTTAATGAACCTTTTCTCGTATTAGACTTTTTATTTTTAGTATAATTTCCTTTAACTAGACGCGGGCAAAAAATGGTTTTCGCAATTGGCATCAGAGCGACTTTGAAAACTCCCTTTGTTTCTGATTGAGTTTAATTCGATTATTAAAATCGAACTGTTCAAAGCTCGCAGTCGCTGGCTCCTATTGACGAAAATAAGTCTCCCTAAGCGGCGTAAAAGAAAAAGTAAATACGCCTTTTTGAGCGGAAAACGAGCGTTGTCGTTTGTATTTGTTTGACGAAATCACGAAATCCCCATTATTTTTGTAATTCGATATTTAATGCGCATCGAAAACAAATTCGAGTACCTTTATAGATGCTTATTTCGTTTAGAGTCTTTTTTATACTACCAATAAGAAAATAAGTGGAGGCTTAAATTGTTGTAGAATGTAAATAATCTACGAGTTAATATTCAGTAAATTTGGTAAAAAAGGCTTCGTATATCGATCATTAAGGAATCGAAATAAGCTTCAAGAATTACTAAAATTTTAAAACATGCTTTAAAAAATTATCATGTTAAAAACTGTTGAAATTGCCGAAGAAGCATTCAAAACTCAAATAAAAGTATAAATGAAAGAAAGCCTCAAATATCGATCATTTAAGGCTCAAAAAAGGTGAACTAACAAAAATAACTCTTAAAAATAAACTATTAGGGAACCGAAAAAGCTTCATAAATCACCTAGATTATAAAATTAGAGCTTTAAATTGAAAGTCTAAAAAGCTACAAAATATCCCCTATATAAATAAACCGCACCACTGAAATAACTGATTTAGAATCTGAAAACACCATCAACAATCAACAAAAAAAATAACCATAAAACAGAAATAAATTACTAAAAAAACATTCCATTTATTCATACCTATCTATTCGAAATCTTCCAAACGATTTAATATGGAAAACCAGGCAATTTAAAATAACAACTTTACAGATATCCGATTTCCATTTATTAAACGGAAAATGATTTGTAGCCGATTATTAACGTAGAAATGATTAGTTATAATTCCACTTGAATACTAGGAATATATCTTTGATCTTCCCTTCTAATTTACCTTTGCCGATAAATTGCCCGGGGCGCCTTTAATTAATTCATTCACAATGTATACGTTTGTAATTGTTAGAAATTCCTCTTTGCGCAAAGACGACAGCGACAGCCACGCCGGCCCTTTGATCTTCCACACACGATGGAATTATTTCCAAACCCCCCGCTTTTAATGATTATTTTTTTCTTCCAATTGATTCGCTCACGACAGGATAAACTGATTCAGCAGCGCTGATTGAGGTCAGTGGTCTTGTCAGATCAACGGATATGTGCAAGCTTTACACACACTAACGGGGTTTGTTTGGTTAACACCGATTCGTTCCACTGCAGAAATCGATTAATTGATGTATTTGATTACCAGATAAGATGTGTGGGTTTTTTTTCCGGTGAATAATTCAGGATTTCCTCGTGAAGGAAATTGGGAAAGCTACTCTACCACTATAGGAGAGCTGCTGTAATAAAACAGACAATAAAGTGAGATGTTCCTAATGCGTTCTGTAACGAATTCGTGTGGGAAAAACATCCAGAGAATCCGGTAATTTATATTAGTTAGTTTATTGCCTTTACCTTTTTTATCTAATTATTTACGTTGTTTAATAAATGACGGCGAACTGAAATTACTTCTTATTAAATCTGATTGTATGATGGAACGATTCGGAATTAATCTCGGTAATTATTCGAGGTATTACTGGGTATTACGAGGAAATCCCGTCTTCGATACGCCATCGAGAATTATCCTATAGAATTACCTTTTCGCGATTTATGCACTCGTCGAATCCCATTCGAGCCGGATGAGAAGAATGGCGGAAAAAAATAGCGAAATTCAATTATAAGCTCTTTTCTAGACTTTTAGCCGATAATTCCCGGCGATCAAGATAAAAAGGCACTTCGAGTGGAAGAGGTTCAGCGCAAAGTACAATTTATCGATTCATCCAATGTAAAGAAGAATTTAATTTATATACCTAAGCGAAATTTGCAGTCGAAAAAAACTAACAATATTAATCTTCTTTTAATATTCCATTCAGTTACTATGAGGCAAGGATTCATTATACCGCGTTCGCCATCAAGAGATAGTAATAAAACCTAATTTTTGTATGCAAAAGGTTTTAAATAGGTATCTAAAAGTAAGCTTTATTAAGCTAAACTTTCTAGTAAGTCAGGTTTCATTTTTAAATAGCATTTACTGCTTCAAGAAGATTACTTATTCAAGAAGATCTTTTTGCGCTGGTTATTCCCCGCAAATGTGATATTGATACGCTACTTTAGACCTTCCCATTAGCATCTGGGAATAACGCGGAATTTATACACGCGCCATATTATCGCGAAACTAATTAAGAGACGTCGCGACGCCGTGCTAAGAAGTAACGTACCGGCGCCCCGAACGAAAATGGGGCTCGTTCGAAATTGGCTGTAACTGGCTGGTGCTTTAAAGGTGTGTACTCGACACGGTCGCATTATCCGCACGTTGCTTGTAATAACAATGATATTTGTTAAATAAACGTCGCATTAATTAACATATTAGTGAGCTTTACGGCGGGAAAAACTATTAAAGGATGTTTCGAGCTTCGAAGGGAGGTTTAATTGTATATAAGGCAACGTTTAAGGGAAGGGTAATGTGCAGTGGTATATAGAAATATTGGATTATTTTTGAGAAGATTATAGAATTTTCGAATGAACTATAAGAAAGAAAAACCCATGATATTTTGATGTGAAGTGAATATTTCCATTCATCCGTACGAGGAAATTCATGTGATCAGTTTTTATTAGAGCGCGAAATTACTTTCGGTAATAAATTCGCTGTAAAAATGAATGTAAAATTTTGATAGGATCGCTTCGACGTCGAGCGGGAGTTTATAGAGATTTGTACAGTTACTTGAAGTATGTTTCCTAGTAGATTTACCGGATCCGGTGGAGTGTTTAAATAAATCGAACGCGCCGAACCAATAACGCCGAGGTGATTTTAATTCATCTCTTCTAAAAATTGATTTCCACATAAAAATGCCGGATTCCGGGCTTCGATAGAGATTTGTGCGGAGCACGTTAGGAATTTTACGCGATCTAAACTTAATGAAAACCGGGGAATTTATCCGCCTCAGATTTTCCACGGGCGGTAAATAACACTTATGCTGGAACTAACCGGTAACATTTCGTACTATAAATTTTCAACTTTGGGTTTCTGTTAATACTTTGACACCATTCGTCCCATTAACATAATTTTCCGGTTCAAAACTGTATCCAACGTTACTCAAGCGGATCGGCCGTCGTAAATTGTTTTCGAATGCATATATTCAAATTTATACTGACTGACTGAAGTTGTTCCGCACTTGATTTATTCCACGTTTTAATAGATTTATGCGTTTCGCTTCGATTACTCAAAATTACTAATAATACGACCCCCGATCGATAATAAAAACCCGATTTTCTTTGATGAGAAAATAATTTTTTCGGATACCCATTACATTACTAATTCAATAGCTTTCGATTCTGAATTTTGATTACACCCAATTTGTCCGCATTAATTTATAAGAAAAAATATACGCTTTTCTTATTCTGATACGACCCGAAGCCATTCCATTTCGCCCGGAACGCATCGCATGTTCGGACGTTGTAAAACTGAAGTTCCATTACCGACGAAATTCACAGGGAAAATTATTTTTCACATTATGGTAAAATGAAAGTAAGTGTACTCCGACCGGCCGGCCATTACACAGGTAATTTGTTATTTAACACAGATTACTAATTGCGTTTCGCCGGGAAAATTACCTGTCGCAAGTAAACTAAAAATGCCGTTTAAAACCGTTCATTTTGATTGTTATATACTCTAATGTCGATCATTAATCAATAGGTTTGTATAGTTGTAAATTGTAAGAAAATAAACCGAAAATCCCTACATATTTAGCTTCGGTTATGTATTTACATTAAAAAAAGGCTTAATAGACTAAATAGCTGAGTAATGAAATGTGAACTAAATACTCAACGCTTCTGGAATATTTTCGAATAATCTCATTCGACCGTAAACGTATCGTAATAAATCGAAAGGAAATTGCATTCAGAGTAAATTGGTTATAAACATGTATCCTGTAATATTATGCATATACCGTGACTGTTATCATTACCAGAAGGAGTTTCCATACTTCCACTCCATATTTTTACTGAATATAAAGTAACTGTTGAATATAAATCATTCTTAACCGAACTCAAAGTGCCCATAAAAATTGCACGCTGCAATTAAAACTTTCTCTCCACTTCATTATTATTGTCATCTAAATTGGACGCTTATTTTTTTCACCAAATTGATGAGTAATCTAGTTTATTATCAGTTTCAGATTGATGGTGGAGAAGATGCGTCTGGTGCTCCTGTTGACGATTCTCTGCCTGCACGAGGCGTCCTTGAAGGACATCCGTTCGAGGAACAAATCGAAGCAGAAACCGGCGAGACCCAGGGACATGTGCACGCTGGAACCCACCGACTCGAACAACGTCCGGTGCTTCTGCACCAAAGACAAATACCACCAAGCCCAATCGGCCGAATGCTGGATATTCGGCCCCGTCACCAAAGACAGCTTCATCTGGCGATTGATAGTCGAAACGCAACCGTACCTCGCGGAATTCGCGATGATAGCGAGCAACCAAGGCGAGCTGCGCGGCCTCCCGCCCGACTTCCTCCACAAGCTGCTCTTCCTGAAGAACTTCACCGTGTCGTACGCGCTGCTGGAGCGGCTCGACCGCTTCGCCTTCGGCAATTCCACGTCGATTCAACGGCTGATTCTCGCTAAGAACCAGATCGAGCGGCTGGAGGAGCTGTCGATGGCGAATCTGCTGTCGCTGAGAGAGCTCGATTTGAAGGAGAACCGGATTCGCTCGGTGCCGGCGAGCGTGTTTCGTAACGTGCCCGAACTCAAATACGTTCGATTGAATAATAATAATATATCGAGGATCGAGGATAAGGCGTTCGCGGCGCTCGGCAACGCGCTGGAATTGGATTTATCCGAGAACTATGTTTGCGATATAAATAATCTGACGTTTTTCGGTCTATCTAAGCTGAAAGTGATCGACTTGAGTGCGAATAAAATCGTGAATTTGGCGTCGAGCGTGTTCTCCGAATTGTGGGATATCGAGGTAAATTCATCAGTCGATGCGAGTCTGTTTTAATTAGAGCACAACGGGAGATGAAAAGAAAAAAATCCCTCGAGCATAAAGCGGTGAAAAGTTGCGCAAGAAATATAATGCTCAAAAGGGATACGAAATTGCGATTCCGTTGCGAAATCCTACCAAAGACATTTCTTTGTTTTGCTCATAATTCGCTAACAAATAAACTCGCCTCGCGTTTCTTTTAGCAATAATATATTTCATTTCTCAATGGAATGAACATTGTAAATCACAGAAAGGAAACTAAGTAGCCGTAGACCGCATTCATTTGCACCTATTTAATCATAAGCAATTGATTATACTCAGCCCAAACATCTAAAATTAGTATAAAAATGAATCAAAAACATAACCCCTCCCCTAATTCATCAATGTAATTATAATTATCTGTTATGTATACAGAATTTTCATTCGATATGGGACGTTCTGTAATCGGAGTTAAAATTAAATTTCCTCGATTTCCATCATAATTATATTCGCGTATCTTTGTAGATGTGTATTTATAATTGGAACAATGGCTGCAGCATTGATTTCTATTTCCATTCCATCGACTTTGTTGCGTTCTTTGAACTTCGAGGTCATTTAAAATTCGATTTATCAATAGCGAGTTCGAATTAATTTTTAAACTAAATTAACAATGCAGCAGAACCAGAAACTCTATACAAAGTATACACATAATGTGATTTGCTTTGTTTCGAATGGAAACGAAATTTCGACCGGGTTATTAAACAGCATATTATAGAATGCATATTGCATATAAAATTACTCCCGCGATACGCGCTTTGCGCTCTTCTTTTTCCGCCGGAAGATAATAACACCGATTTCCATCGATTATTCGGGCTGAAACGTGCGAAAACTTCCGAGTCCTGGCGGGAAAACCTGATAAATAACTGAGCAATTTAATCCCGCAGGAGGCACTACAAGGCATAATAAAATCGTCTGTAACCGCCAAACGAAACCACTACGTATGAATAACGGCTCGGTTAGCCATAATATTAGCGCAAAGAAACATCAGTTGCGGTTTAATTTTGTCCAAATTGATTATTTACGCCGCCGTTCTGGCATGAATCGGACACGAATACTCGTACATTGCAAAAATTAGGATTTTAGTAGGTACTACAAAATATCTCTATCATCATTGTCATATCGTTGGAAAAATTATTATAGGATTCCAATACAACAAAATAATTAATTATGAATTAATTCGTCACTGAATAATTCACGCATTTTCGTTATTTTTTACAGCTATCGGTTCCTGTTTGCTCGCATTAAAAAACAGTCACGAAATATTTCGATTTGCCGTGGTTAATTTGTTTGATATATTCGAGTTCGAAACTAATTACACTCGCCTAATTGTTTTTCGAAAACACATATAGTGCCTCGTTAAACGCTGTTTAAAACAACAATTATAATTCAGTTACTAACTACGCCTAATAAATGAGAATTGTTCTAATGTTAACTAATTAATTTCACGATATTGTGAGGTAAACTAGAGAGAATATCAATTTAGAGAATCTTGAAGCAGAAAGGGAAAATTCAAAAATCCCTTTTCACCGTGTAAGTAGATCTTTATTTGGGAACGTTAGGGGGTTGTGAAGAAAAGGGTTGCAAAGGCAGGGGGTACAAAGGAAAGCCGCAATGCAAAATCGCCGGCGATGTGGCTGATGCATTACCGTGGAAAGGGCCACAACGAAAAGCTGCGCAACAAAAGCCACTTGAATGATTACTGTCGCGGTTCGAACTACTGTCGGTGTAGGTTTGTAAGTAAATACTCGATTGGAATTCAATATGCGGGGTTCAGTTTTTTTTAACTGAAAAATCGCCTAATAAAATTCGCGCGAGAAAAATTTAATGAACGTAAAGGAGAAACCGCAGAAGAATCAACATCAAACGGGAAAATTCAATTTCAATTTTCGAATCGTAATTAAAAGCGAGATACGATGAGGGTGAGGTGATATATTTTCAAAGGAACTATTGGTGATATAAGCTAATTGAAAATGCTTTGGTGAAAATGAGATTCTAACAATTCAACATTGCAAATAAAAGGGAAAAATCCCGTATGTAAACGCAAACGGGCATGTACATATTTTCCCGTTAAAGTGCTTATTGACTAAACAGAATACTCTCTTTATTGATTATATGTCCAACGCTATTACCAGGCTCGAGTAAATAATATTTCACCGGCTCTATCCGGCTGGATTTTTTTGCGTTAAACCCCGCGAAAATCGAACCGATTATACATTTAATATCGAAGGGCCCGTTTCCTCTATTATATGATTATCTCGCGAATTTATTGCAATCTGAAGTGAATGACAGAATTTAATGTCCAGCGCTCTGTAAATTTAAAGTAAACTTGTACCAAATAGTTGGAGTTTCTGTGAAAAAACCCGCTTCTTTGAACTGGGAGATGTAACGTCGGAAAAGAACGCACACAAAAGTTCTTTGTTCATTTATTGTGGAATTGAATAGAATGCGTTTGATATGGAAAAAATGCAGTTGACCTCTCATCAAACAAAGAATATAAATTTAGAAATAATAGAAGAGCACCGGCAAGGGTAGCGCTCGGCTTTTCCAGTATTAGATATTGTAAATAATTTTTTCAGTGGCGCTTGATGGATGCCGGTACATCGTTTGATTTGCCGGTAAGTTACGGGCGGCGTCATTAATGCAAATTAGAAGATTGATGGTCGGGAAAGGAAGCCCGTTCGGTTCCATCCGTGAAAAATCGCGGTCGTTTATCAGTCGATCTCGAATCAAAGTAATAAATTTCCTTTTATTTTCGTGAAAGGTTCCGCGGGTGTACAGGGCCGATCCGAGAGGGGGTATAGTTTTCAGCGGATGGATGGGGTTCATAAATCCGGGTGGAATGCCGTGATTACTCGTAAATCGTATACAGGGTGTACCAAATTAAGTGGAGATTATGTTAAGTTTTTGGGAGGTTTTATTATATGAGTGGAAGCCTTGATTTCTTGCATAACAGGGTGTACCAAATTAAGGAGGGATTATACAGTTTTTTTAGGTTCTTTGAAGTGTTGTAGAGGTATTCTAAATTATAAAGAATAGTTTCATACCTTCATATCTTGCTATAGCAGTTATTACATTGCATCATTTATACGACAAAAAGCAATTTACAAAGTTCTATTTAATAATGTACGTAATATGTATTCATGGAATTCCTTGAGTAAAGGTAATTAATTAATCCGTTTATATACAAATCCAAGTTATACAACGACATGTATTAGCTTTAGCGACATATCACTATGAAGTTTATTCGCAGTTCTCTCGCGCAAATAAGTTAAATAGGATTTTACAAGTTTGATATGAAAAGTCATAGCGAAACGAACAAGTTGGCTCCACAACGAAATGCTTTTAGCTTTGTAATACGTTCATATCGGAATAATCCGGAATATAAATTAGATATGAAGGGTTGTCCTCGAAGTTATTCCGCCCGGTTTTTTTTATAATTCTTTTTTCCTATCGCAATTTCGAAACCACGCAGCGATCAAACGCCGGATAATAAATTTCATTCGAGCCTGACGGGCGCGTTCCTTGTGCGTTTTAAATATGCCAAAAAGTTGAATGAGCGCAAAAATAAATAAAAGTACAATTCCGACAATAAATCTCGAAGCTACGGAACTCCAGATACGACTTCATTTCGACGTGGAACCGGTTCTTTTTAGTTCATTTTAATGTCAAGTGTCAGCGCCAGATTCCCCTGATACAATATTTGCCGGATTGCCGGGAAAGAAATCAACAAATATAAAAGTGAAAAACCAATGTATCCCGCTTTTCGACAGCGGGTATGTATTATTATTGCCTTCATTTTCCATTAAACTCATATACAGGACGTCCCTAATTTAATACAAACCAATTCTTCAAATCTGAATTATTATCTCATATACAAGACGTTCCAAATTTAATATTCTGGAGGATTTAAACTCCACTCGAAGTTGTGGATGCACAAAATACTGGGCATAAAATACCAAACAATAATCCGCAAAGTTATTAAATTTATAGCGCGATTTACGATCACAGTTTCCTAATATTTTTCCAGGAAATGTACTTGGACGACAACTACATCGAATTCATATCCAACCGAGCTTTCGACGGGCTGCGGTTCCTAAAAACTTTGAGCTTGGGCAACAACCGGCTCGCTCGATTTCCGCCCGGCTTGTTCGCCAGCGTTTTTACGCTCGTCAATTTGGATTTGAGCAACAATCGCCTGGAAACGCTCGTCTTCGATTCCATCGAGCAATTCTACAACAATCTCATGACCAACGGCACCATCGAACTCAAAGGTAAGCTCCGATTAACACGATTTTTAACCACGAATTCTTTTCTCAGGTGAACCGTTCAGTAATTGCTTAATGGGAATTAAGGGAACTATTTCATTATGTGTTTAGTATTAATCCGGGGAGTTCAAAGCCATATCTAATAAGCGACTGTACGTATTCCTATTACTCTGTTATGAGCTATGCTCGGCATTGTATAAAGCTTTCCGGTTGCAATATAGGTACGCGTCTGAACTATATTAATTTAGTCGGACTCTTCTTGATAAGGCATCCGCAAGCAAGAAGTGCATCTTAAAAGCTACACTGCGAAATTAACCTTTAGCTATCGTTTCATCAGCATTACTTTGTGCGCTAATTAGATGGTAAAGTAACAGTAAATTGGTGCTTTATCAACCAAACTCGATGCAGTGTAGAAGAACTTTAAATTAACATTCCTTAACGTGAAATGTGTTTGATAGGGTTGAACTACCTTCAACTCCTTAATTGAATGTAGTGATTCTATTACTATGGACTTGTGATTTATTGTTTGAAAGCACTCTCCATTTTCTAAAACCCACAATAACTGGATACATTTTTGCTCAATAAACTCGTATACACAAACATATTTATACAACCAAACAAAGCCCGGATGGGCGAAATCAAAGCGAGCCTTTACTCAAAAGTAACGGGTTCGTTATGCGTAGTTTCCGAGGAAGCTTTCGGCATATGCCTTTCCGACTGACGTCTTATCCAGCTTTCTGGCTTCCGCTTCCGCTCTATCCAGTGCGCGGCGAAGACGAACGAGCGCCGTAGGTCTGGAATCCACTCATAACTTGGCGCATAAATCACGCGAATGCGTTGTTATTTTGATTTGTCCCCAGCTCGAATGCTAACTGGTACACACAATTCGCTTTATTAAAGTTTACGGTCGCGCGGAACGTATAAATTTTCTATTAAATTCAGAAGGAAACTGTAATTATTTACTCGAGTGAATTTGTGTAGGTATTTGCATGTAAATTATTTCTTACCGGGTAACGCGCGCCCATCTCTGATGCATTTTAATAATGAGCAGTGTGTAGGGAAAATTGTGTTTTGGTAGAGATGGCCGTTCATAAAAATAACGGTTACGTTATTAAGGAATATAAATAAGGAATATAAAATGTAAAGATACGCTACTGTTTGTGGTGAATGTTGCCTTAACGGATTCAAATAGGTTTACGTTTCTCGGTTTCTGTTTGATAAAACTACCTTTTGCATTTTCATAAGGTATTAATACTGAAGCCTGTATGGTTGATGGCATTTTCCAGAATGCCATACACATGCCTCAGAGGATTGATATGCTTTCAACGTGACTTTGAGAAGAGAAAAATTAGTTTACCTATTGATTATTTTTGAGTACCTACATACACACGTTCTTTTCATATCCGATGTTTTTTGATTCACTTAATTTTTTCGGTAAAAAAACATAATGGTAAATTGATAGGGTATATTTACAAAAATAATTCGAGTGAATATAAATCGAGCATAAAGCGTTCCGGCGCTTTGAATTTCTATTCCGTATACTGCAACAATACCGAGTAGAATTGTTTTTATTTTATCGGAAAAAGATTTAGTCAGATCTCTTTCGAATGTATTTCGACTTGTACGTTTGCCTTTTAAAGGAAACCTTTTATTTCAAAATAAATACAGCTTTCGAAAGTCGGAGCTCTATTGAACGAAATATGTCTGTTACAGGAATATGATATACTCGATTGCAGGAGGTCGCAAATAGAGAACTCCGAGCGATTTTCGGGGCGTACAAAAGCGCCGTAAATTGGCGAAATAAAATTCACAAAACGCACAACCCAAATACATAATTCGCGAAAAATTCTTCCGAATTAAAAACTTTTTCTTTTCAAAAACGCTCCTTCCGAAACTTCTCCAACTCGGCGCTTTCCGGCGGCCATTGAAAAGCCGTTCGAAATTAAAATTTCGTTTCTCCAGCACGCTTCCCCGGAATCTCGTAGTCGAAAACTTCGGCTCTCGCGCACGAAACCGCCGAGAACAATCCAATTTTTTATCGCTCACCAATACCGCTTGTGATAAAACTTAATAAACTTTATAACCTTTCCTCAAACAAGTTTGGAGTTGTGAGATCCTCGAAAATCTCCTCGGCTATATTTCGATAACGGGATAGCAAATTTAATCGCAACCCAAACCCAATGTTATCTTCACAGGGGGTGAAATATTATACAGTGTGAACCAGTGGGTATTACTGAGTGGATTTTAGTTAGGGGTGAAAATTTTAAATTAATTTAATTAAAAAAAACAAATATTGACATTTTTTCGCGTTTTTTAATTATACAAATATTAACTGAGAAAATGAATTTTTAACTGGATGAGGTGTATTTGTATGAAGTCATTATTTCATATTTTTCAAAATAATAAAAAGATTCATTAAAGCTCAATTTGTGAATCTCGAAAATAACGTGAAAATACAATAAAAATATGTAAAATAAAAATCATCAAGAAATTTTTGATTTTCTAACTGAAATAAATGCTCTTAATATACGTAATTTATATTTATTATAGGCAGTCCTCATTTCAAAATATTCTTCATAATATTCTTATCTCGAATCTCGAAAACTACGATAAAAAATCCGCCTGAACTCATCAAGAAACCTTCGATTTTCTAACAAAAACTCCTCATTTTCCACACCGTAAAACAAATTTACCGTCTGTAAAAAAAAACTCCCGGCGAATGCACCACCTGAAAATCCGCTATGCGCAACAATAACATCCTATTTTTTTTTATTTTCGCTTTGACGAAGTCGCGTGTTTGCGGCACCCCAGAGCTCAATTTTCCTCAGGCTGCCGGCCCTCAGCGGGATTCCCCGTTCTACGTCCGTTGTTCCGGAGTTAACACTTTTAATTAATGATAAACGCATACTGAAAGTCCTGCCAAGTGGAGCTCATGAAGCTTTCACGACCCGACAGAAAAATACATTTATGAAGCAACTAGCCTAAATTATTTATCGCTTGTCCGTGACTCGGTTTACCAATGTTCCTGTTTTATAGAGCGATTCCCGCAGGACTGAGGAATCGAACGCAGGAATATTCCCTTAGCGCGAAACATCGCATAATTGCCGGCGTAAGCGAGGCGGAAAAAAAAATTAAAATCGAAATTAGAATTAAATTCCTTATAGCCTAAAACAAACGACCTAAACATTAATCTCCCTTTATACCCGAAAGGTCCTTTGACCGTTTCATTAAATTCATCAAGTATTGTTGAAGCCTCGCTTTGTTGATCCCGTGACATTAAACGGATCTTTCCTCGAGTGGTGCTCGACTTGTTCAAACACGCCATTCGCGACCTGTCTCGTTAAAAATTCAGGCGAAACTTATGAATTATTCACCGAATTTAATAGACGATCTTAAGTAATTCTTCGCTAATCTTTTCGCTTCCAGTCGAAGTCAATTAGCCTGCATTTCGGCGCGAGTTGCTCCGATTCCGCGGTCCCTAATGTGGAGTTTAATTAAAAGTAATCGCAACGCAAAGTTTGCGATGCCGGGCGACAAAGACTGTTTGGCTGTTAGTTAGCTTGCGGTTCGACAATAAGCCGATTACAAAGCGAACGGGATCCGAGATTTGTTTCGTAGGTGTTGCAATCGGAGTCAAAAACGACGGAAAATTTAACACTTTGCGGTTGAAGTGAGATATCATTACTCGTATACCCGGACTATAATTAAATTGTGCGCATAATAATCCCAGAAAATAACCATACTCTATTCTCTACTCTCTATAAATACTCTCCTGTTGTCGATAGATCAATTATTTTTTGTTTGATAGAAAATCGTTGGCTAATTTGCACAATTGTACATGTACAAGGGGATATACAATACGTGTATTCAAATCCGGGCTGTAACCGCATTTAAATTTATAAAAAGCGGCGCATAAACGGTCCGATATACAAATTGTAATCAATTTGAGAATTATTCAAAATGTGGAAACGGCCGCGTCGCACGAAAATATTTACCATGTGGAATATGGAGTTGCGGTAATTCCTATACGCGCGTTGCAGGTTAAATATATTATACGTTCGATGTGCAATTTCATTTTTCCTTGTTGATATATACATGTAACTTTGTTTTCCATTAACTGATTTATTTCGGTATCGCCATAAAACTAGATATACATATGTAATGTTTTCATTTAATATCTATACGGCATTCAATTTATTTATATTTGAAATTTTAATAGATTTTTTTTAGTCGAGGATTGAAGGATTGTTAATTTTAATCGCCGCGAATTTTTTTTTTCAATTAGGTAGGTATTAAATATTCTGTAGTTTAATTAGCTTAAGCTTGCGAGTGATTTAAATACGAGCTGTACATACACGAAATACGTTTTTATAGCTAATAGCTCAATAAACGCTATCTAGCTTTAAAGTTCTGTATACTGAACGATGACAGTAAAGCTTATGAAATCCATAAGATGAAGCTTTACGACGGCATTACACATAATTTACAAGTTTGCCTCGCAATGATACCGAATTTTACGTTATGATTACGCCCGCTTTTATTTTCCTCAATTTTTACACCTCGTAAAACGGCCCGTTCCAAAACAAAACTGAGCTTTTTCACGAATTTTACGAATTTATCCGCTCACTGGTTTATATCAGATTCAATTTAATAACACGCTATCAACCGTAATATGCCTCAATTTTGACCCGAATCAACTGAAACGTAAACTAATCATAACATGAATCATCTATATCTGAATCAATTGTAACATGATTCAATTGTAACATGATTCAATTGTAACCTGAATCAACTGTAATCTGGATCAATTGTAATCTGGATCAATTGTAATCTGAATCAATTGTGATCTGGATCAATTGTAATCTGAATCAATAGTAACCTGAAGCAATAGTAACCTACACCAACTGTAACCTGAATCAACATTAACATAAATCTACTGTAACCAGAATCAATTGTATTATTTCTAGACAAAAAAGCTCCTGTTTGGATACGATCGTTTGTGTATT